AGGTGCTCCCTGTTTGAGGGCGTAATCACCTGGGTCAGAGGTGAGACCAACATGTGGTCTTTTGTTTACTACTTAGCGGCTGTGTACCTGTGGGTTTATTTTGTGTGTATTTGGATGTTCTAATCTTGGTGTTTTTCCAGTGATTTCTCTTGGTGCAATCCAAATACAGTAGGTGTGTCTTGTTTACCTGAGATTTGCAAGAGTTTGAGCTGGCCAACATGTTAGTTTTTTTCATATGGTTGATTACTGGCATATTGATTTCCCATTTTTGAGCCATATTTTCAACTTTCTTCGTCATTTTCATATAGCAATCTCGTCATATGTTAACATTGTCGTCTATGGAAATTCAATTAGTGGTATGAGCCCTTAAAGGGTTGTCACGTGTCTAATAAGCGGCCTCTACGGCAGGTATGGGGCTGGGATCCGGTTCTCGCTCCGGTTGGTTCCGGATATATTTTGCTGTAAACAATTACGTCTTTGCCTTTGACCTGTGTTAACACCCAAGTCGTCAAGAACGAAAGAATTTTCTAGTTTCTGTTATTGCGTGCCACATTATGGATGTGCCATTACCTGAAAGTGTACAAAAAGTAGACTGCCAAGAACCAGCAACAAGATTAGAGAGTGGGAGTTCTGATTCCAGTCATACAGTACATATTTATGCACATCGTAGATGCTTGAAACCCGATGGAACGTTTGCCCTACGGGTAGTTCACTCACAGATCGACTATAATATGCCCTGTCTGGCTCCTGACTTGCAAGCTGTTTCAAACAGTAGCTTCTACTGGGGGCGAATGAGCTACTATGAGGCCGAAGCACAGTTAGATGGCAAACCAGAGGGAACATTTTTGCTAAGAGACAGTGCCCAAAACGAACACTTGTTTACTGTTAGCTTCCGTCAACATGATAGTACTCGTCATGTAAGGGTCAAACTGTGGAATAATAAATTTAGTATTGGTATGTTCTCAGCGAACACTGTATGTGAATTTTTTGAGCATTACAAGGACCCTAACTCTGACTCAATCATGTTAACTATTCCACTGCCAAGACGAAATCCTTTTACGCTGCTGGATTTGTGCAGGGCTGTTATATGTACGTATATGATATACGATGACATAAAACTGCTGTGTTTACCATCGGCATTGCGGGAGTATCTGAGGGAATATCATTATACACAAAAAAGCAGAGTGCGTACATTTGAAGTCGAGGAATCTACTGAGACTGAAGTCTACTAAATATATTTATATGAACTAACATCATGTTGCATCAACTCGATGTTTGGTGCTGGTGATTTCCATTGTCACATATCACGAAGTCATGTTGATTTTTATAATTTTTAACAATTTAATCAACATTGTTTTGTTAATTAAAGTATATTTTTTCATTAATATTGTCTGAGCTCTCAGTGCTTGCTGTTTTGGAATTTGCAATAACTTGTAATCATCCATCTTGAATTTTCAAGGTGAATGTTCCGGCGAAGCACTCCACTATCACCTTGAAGTATTTCATTAGGACAATGTGTATGTGACAATGCCCTCACAGTTTAGAATCAGTTTACCAACAGCCAATCATATTGCTTCTTTCTTCAACGCGCTTGGAAAGCTATCAAAATCTTCAAGGCGGGGCCAAGTCACGAGACGCGCACCACTCTACCATGTATTTATATGGGCTCTGTGAGAGCTGCTGTGAAAAACCGATCGAAAAGCCGGTGAAAATAGCTAAAATCGAGAAAACAGCACAAACATAACTTTGAGAAATCCTAAACAACCAAATTTAAATATGTTGCATATGTAGGGATAATCTTGTTACACTGTTCAGGGGGTGTCAACAACCATTCCAAAATACCGTTTTCTGAGAATTTATTGGCCTTTGTTTTTACCATGGTTGCCAGGCGGTGAAAATGCCTGACCTGAGAATAAATGTAGCTGCGCACAGTGGAAGCTGTGTTGGCTTGGATGTCGAGGCAATACAGCGATGATATCCATATACCATGCAACTCACAGATATTCAGACCAAAGCTATTCAAACTATGCCGAGTCTGATGTGTTCGTATTTTGTCGCACTGGAAATAGTAAATGCTTATGGTATTATGCTTTACCGGCCTTGCGACCACCGAGCGTGGTAATAGTGTTGTCACCACTGTTGAGTATTATAGAAGAGTAGGTGTTATACCTCAAAGCTCATGATGTCACTGCAACATATATTGGCAGAAATGAAGCCAAAGACATCGGAAACGCAAAGCTCCAAACGCTTACTGGCAGTCATTGTAACAAAGCTTTCTATTGGTCGGTAAACTTTCTATCGCGCAACCACGTGACATACACGGTTATGTATAGAATTACCGCACGGTGTTGTAGAAGGAGGAATATCCGAACGGAGCAACACCGTGCAGGCGGACGATGGTAATCATCATACAAAGTATATATTCAGTGTGATTTTTTGGCTGGGTGACTCTTCCTTTGGTAAAAAAAAATGTAAATTTTCTCTCCAACCATCCAAATCAAGTGAAACTCAAATCACCCAGTAAATTTATTATAATTTATTTATTATATTTAGAGAACACTATCACGATTCTTATTGCAATATGCTTATTTTGCGTTGATATTTGGTTATAATTTCCTGTTTTATACCTCAATATAATGTCACCGCCGTCCAAAAAAGGTTTGCTTGTTTTCTGGAGTCTGAGAGAAAAGCACAAAACAACTACCAGTGTCATAAAACTGAAAACTAACTTTATGTGACCATGGAGGTATAAACAGTTTATACGCCCATGATGTGACCCATTAGATGTCAAGATTTGTTGCTACAAAAACTTCCCTCCCGCTGGACTCCAGGAGCACTTAGGGATAGACCTTTTGAATTCATGGGATGTGGCTGAAAGATTTGTTAAAACATGTTTGTAAGGTGTTGCAAGAGAAAACTGTTAAATAAAATTATACAGATCAGACACTACAAAAATATGGTACTGGACACAGTCTTCCAGCCAACCCCTGGTTATAGCTAAAACCGCATATTTCATTGAACGAATATTTAATTTGAATATTGTCCACTAAGTTAACATTATTATAAGCACAGACCACAATTTCAGTGATAAGGGGACAACTATTTGAAATCAGATTCATGGAAATTACAAGTTTTCTGCTGTTGGTGCGAATTCACTGCTATATCCACAGAGAGCCCAGGAACTATGATCAACTGTACGCACTCTCTGTGAGCGGGGGGGGGGGTATCGGCTGGTATCTAGTGTAAGAAATAGACAAGGGATGAAGGCTCTAGCGAGCTCATATTTTTTAAACTGGAAAAAAACAGACGAACAGAATGAAAAATACAATCTATAAAAAATACCAGGTTGAAGAATATAAGTTGCTCTTTCAAATTTCGCCAAGCCTTACCTATATCTGCAGAATAAATCAAGAAAACTACACAAATTGACTCCATTTATGAACCATTAAACGCACGGCACAGTCTGAAAGTTGGCATTGCAAGAGCCTTGTGACGTCATCTGAGTGACACACAATAGATTGGTGATAGAAGCGTCTGTTTCCAGCAAAAAAATCGTAGAGAGAGATTTGGCATACTAATTATAGTATGTGGTATGTGTTTTTTGAATTAAATCGAAAAACTTGAAGTTTAGGGTGTGTTGTATTAAGTATGAATTAGTGTTTTATTTTTTAGGTGCTTGAAAGAGGAACGTTAGAATTAAAAATGTTATGTTACAATTCCTGCAAATCTCAAAAACGGGAATCAAAAAGATCGACTGGGCCTTGCAAACGGGTGTCGAAAACAACGCGATGCATACCTACAAACCATCTCTGAGTCAGTTGGTATATAAAGTATTCATATAATGTGTATTTATATATAACCCAATGGACACAGTATAATGTAGCAAAACTGAAAAACAAAGACAAGTGCAAACAATATATATCGGGATGGCAATACAACGCTTAGATTATAATTACTTTATGTATCCTACTACGAGAGATCTAATAATCAACTTGTAATGTCATAATTGTATTTATAATTAAAATTACGTAATTTCTCAATATATCCTAAAAGATGATTCTATTCCAATTGAGGTATAATTATCTGTACTTTTTGATAATCGGCAATTGCGAATAATAAACCATAATTGTCCAAGTTTCTCAACAAAAAAGTTTAGTGGATGAATTCCGAATTACTAAAGTGTATTTCATATTCAACTTCTGGTTGTTCTTCGTTCATTTTGTCATCTTTAGGTCGTATACATATTTCTGTCTCCGACAAAAAAAAAATCCCAAACAACTTTCTGTCATGATAATAATATATGAACATTCAACAACTTTCCATTTTCGACATTTTTTTTCGTTTTTATGGAGAAAAATTGTTTGGGTGGATTGTGGGTTGGCATAGTTTAGATGATTGTGGAATTTGCAAAGTTTGGACGGATTGCGGGTTGACAATGTTTGGGTTGATTATGGATTTCGAAATGTTTGGAATGATTCTGGATTTCGCAATGTTTGGGTTGATTATGGATTTCGCAATGTTTGGGTTGATTATTTCTTCAAAAAACAAATGAAAGAATTTCACAATATCGAAAACCGATTGTCTATCAGTCAAGTTAAGAATAAATTGTAAAGTAATGTATACATCTGAAAGTGGCATATTACGTTTGACAGAAAACAGTCAGTTGAATAAAGAAGATTCAATTTTAGGAAATGTTTGACGTCAATAAAATATCAATACCCGTGCGACAATCTAAACTGAATCGAGCGTCTGCGCACAATTTATGGTCGAAAGAAGGGTATGAGTAATGCCCGTGGAACAAGGCGGTGTCTTTATGTTCGAAGTACCAGAATGATACTCAGTGAAACACCGGGTGGTATCGGAATTATTACCGTGAGTGGTACTGGGGAGTGGTACCGACATTCCAGTCGGAAGTCGCGTGACACTGTGGCACTCAGAGGTTACCTATTTGACGTCATGATATTCACTGACCCAATGGATGCAATCGGCTTTTATTGTGATTAGCTGTTGTTGTCATAGATACTAAATAATAGAGTTTGGTTTCATGGAATTCCCGACGCACCTCGGGCAGTTTAATCCCATTGAAAGCACCTGGACCATGAAAGGACGATACGCACGTGTCTATGTGAAGTACGAGTTATTGTAAAAGTCTGAGTCCTGCGAACAACCAGAGTGGTTACAAAAATCTAGAAAATGGGTTTATGGTGTCCACATTATTTTCGCTGTTTTATATATAAGTAGTCAAAACTATATATCAACAATATATTTTCATCCGATGATTTACATCCTCGTCACTATGGAAACTAGTTTCTACATTTGTGCGCAACACGTTGTATGGGTATGGTGGTTATATATTCATATATTGGTTGTCACGAAAAGAGATCACTGGGAGGAGTGTGAAATCAATTATCAAAATTCCGATATGACATTTCACAAGACTTCGGCACGAAAACCGGATTATATGAAAATACCAGGCCATAAAAACAACACCCCTGTACGTACTTATAGCAAAATGGCACCGTGACACAGACGTGTTACTGTTGCCATGGAGAATAGAGATCGATTAGTTTTACATCACTGTGCGTGATATCAGAAATTATGGCTGTTTTTCAATGTTAGATATATTTATATGGACGTCACAATCCTCCTGAAAACTGCAAATTTACCTCAAGTGAAAAGAACAAAGACGTAATGTTCTTAAAAATTATGAAAAATAACATTGCTCTTTCGCTATATCTTAAAAATACCATATACAAAACACCGCCTGTGTAAACCCCTGGGTCGGGAGAACCTTTACTTTGATTTAATTACTTTAATTTTATTACTTTTTATTTTTTTTGTAGTTATTAGACTTTTTAAATTTGTAGTTATTTTTAGTTGCTTTATTTTATACTATTTTTACAGTTGCGTAATAAACTATTATTATTTATACCTAATTGTTTTAAAAGTCCGGGTTGTGAGTTCATAATACAATGTAGTAGCATTCTTTTTTTCTTTCTTTATGTACTTAATGGCTTATGCTCATTGATATTATTGTATTGCAGATTACACGACTACAGACTCTTGAAATATAGCCTGAGCTTGGTGGTTGGTGATTCAAACATAGTACGAAAATGTACATAGTTACACCTCATTTAGACTACATGTATTTTTCTTTCCAATTTTTTCTCAGATCAGAGGTGCTCTATGAGATTTTTTCCAGAAAAAAAGGGCATGGAAAGCAGGAGCAAACGATACACAAAATAAAACGTCATAACATTAGTTAAATTTTATTATATTGCATTCGGACATTTCATCTATAGAACGTAGGTGGCGCTCAGCCCAAAATTCATATATGCATATTCATGAACGTAATTTCCGTTTGGTGGCAGTCGTGCAGTCAGTTGACATATTCTTTGACAAACGCCGCATAGTCGGAGTGACGATATCGACTCCACCCAGGTTAATCATAATACATGCAGATGATATCATATTTTGATCAGTTTATTTATGTACACCATGGCTAGTACAAAACGCAACGGTCTATTGACTAATATATTCAGTGGTACTGGTAAGAAAAGCTTCAAAGTGCGAACACTGCAAGCAGAGTTTGACATGAAACCGGCATCGAGCGATAAGTCCGCAATGCCAGCTATCGTGGAAGACGGAGCCGTGGTCAGTAACGGCGTCACAACGAACGGCTACGTCGACAATAACCGATTTCCAGTCAAGCACCCGAAAAGGAAAGTATTTTTCGTCACCGAGAACGACCGAAACGAAGACGAAGACGAGAGCAGAACTTTGCGTTTCGTCGGGAAGCGGGGATTGAATTCCACACAAGACGAAGAAGATATCGTTAGTAGGAACGGTACAGTTCGGGGCGTCAGGAACCGTGTGCGTGTCGGTGTTTCACAGTTTGAGTTCAGACCGCTGCATACCTCTTCCAGACAGGTAAAAGCAACACATTTTATACGTTTTTACACATTGGCTAACAACACTAACCAAAATATGCAGTAAGTGTTACCTTATTAGCACCAAAGCGTGACGTTGAGAACGCAAACTTTGTCTGTCCTCCTTAGGTACTAGGTCAAGTCAAATGACATGTCAATGCATATATTTAATGTGGTTTTACAACCTGGAAAGGCTACTTTTGACGACTTGGTGGATCGTCACCCGTTAATAAACGTCATGCCAAGTTTATATAATAAAATAAAAACAGCGATGTCCACAGTTGAGCAAAAGGTAATAGTCGGTCGACTGGGAAGCCATACAAAAATGTTTACGACTTTAGCTATCGACCGTTTCGCTTTTTTTTTCTGCTTGAAATGCCGACAATAAAATCTCGGTGACATGTATATATGTGTTTTATTGCCTTATTTTGTCCGAAGGTTAATTGCAAAGTTTTTGTTGTCCAACCTGAACGTTTGTATAAATTAAATAGTTAAAGTTTGACCTTGTGTACTTGTGATGCAGCTGCCGAAGTTTAATGGCCAAGGCTAAAGGACGGAACATATTTGTTTTGATGTTAAATTGCATCTTTGAAAATTCCAGCCAGGACTGGATTTTTATTATTAGGATATTACCATGTTTTTAAAATATATAATGTTCCCGAAATATTTAGAATTAAAATTACATTATAACTGCTTCTTTTAATTTAGTTTGTTGTAAACAGTGGTGTGGCTTGTTTCAAATATTGTTGTACAGTGCTATGGGAAGGCAAAAATGATTTCACGGGAACAAGACTAAATGTTATTACTGATTTTTGCTATTGAAACTTTTGAAAAGGATGTTAAAAAAAAAAAAAAGAATTTATTCCCACACCACTCATAATCCCTGTCCAGAACTTCCAATTTTGTATAATAATCATGAACCTTGCTCAGGATCTATATAATAATGATGTTGTAGCAAAAAGGAATTTTTTTTTATTACTCATAGCCCATTTTTGTATACAACTTGAAACTTACAAAGCACAGTCAAAAACAACTGTTTAAAGAAAAAATACAATTGATTTACCCATACACTCTGGACAAAAATATTTTGTAAAAAAACCCACACTTCTCAGTCATGAAGAAGTAAATGAATTGAACATATCATTTCCATGTTGATTTGTATAAACTATAAAAGTCTTAAGCCTTGGTGTAAAGGCTAGCAAGGTTCTATTACCCATTTGAAGCAATAAACAAAAACGTAAACATGGAGACTGATTACACCACCCTATCCTTTATTGCCACCCCCTTATACAACCTCCACTATGAAGAAATCCATTATATCATTTCCTTAGTGTTGTGTGGCTGTGTCATTCTGCTGTGTGTTAATACAGCGGCCATAATTCGATAGTATTATATTTCCCTGTGCTGCAACCAAAATTGGATACTCTGTTATTTCCCAGTGGTCATGGTTGAGCTTATCTACAAGTGTGGAATGTGTTATGTAAAAGCAATTGAGGTTGAAGAATTCCCATACAATAGAGATTCAGCCATTGTTTATTCGTTGTTGCCACTGTCCTCTAATAGTGGTAGCTGGTGGTGAGCAAAATTCAATCAGCAAAATTTTATTTTTAGTGCAGAATTTACTAACCCCCACCCCCCACAAGTTGGTCATTGTTCCTCAAACTACCTGTAAGCCTGAGGAGAATAAGCTTCCTAAAGATGTGAACCAAATCAGTATGTACATACTGACAGCAAATCAATTGTACCCCACAGAGAGTAAACTGAACAAGACACTCTTGACACAGCTAATGCTTTGATTATGTAGAATCACTGTCAACAGCAAAAAACTTGTACCAAACTTTAAGCGGGGGTGGTGGTGGGGGTGGTGGGGGTGGTGTTGTAAATCATGGAATTGAAAGACTATTAAACTTGTACACCAGTAGCAGGTGGTAGGATATCTACTGGAATTGAATGTTTGCATACTACAGTCACATACTGTAAAATACTTTATTTTCACTTGGAATTAATTTTCGCTATTTTCACTGAAGTAATAATTCAATGAAAATAAAATCCAGCGAATATACCTTTTTTCCTATATTTTACATTCAACTCGCCAAAAATCAGTGAAAATAAATTCCATACAAAACACTCAAAAATTCTTTTTCAGCGGAAATTAATTCCACCTAAAATAAAGTATTTCACAGTACTACATATATGCACCCTTGAAGTTCAGTGATGTCTGCCTACTATTTTGCCCATGTACTGGAGGAACCCAAAAAATTAAATTTATAATTACTTATAAGAGAGACATGCTTATTTCTAGTGGCTGGCTATATTTAATAATTTATTGTTTTTATTTTTGACAATGAGATCAACTTACTTGGTAAAGTTTTGTTTGTATTTAATCCTGTATAATTTGTGGACTGGAAGATACATAAATTGAAACTCTAACAAATTGTCAAACCAACAAAACAACAAATATTTTGTTCATTTACTGATTGCAGTCTGCTTTAAGTTTGTTATTGACAATGTTTTGTAGTAAAAATTTAACATAGGTTCTCAGGCAAGGGGGTCACAGCAACTCATGTGAAATTTCTAGCCATGGAAATAAACACTGCCGGGTATTTTTGTATTGTGTAGTGATTAAAAGTTGTCGGTAAATATGCCTTGCAGGGATTTTGAGAATTATTCACACAGTCAGTTAGCAAGATGGCTTGCAATTTTGCAGAACAGTTTGGTTTTTGTCCAATGTAGACTTGATGGTGCCATTACTTTGACATGCACACAGTTTTAATAATTCCATTATCCTACTAGACAAGGGTAAAGCTCAGCTTCTCAAAATGATACAAGTTTGTTAGAATCCTCGAACAGGTTGTTTTGATGTGTTTTAATATTTGTTGAATTCTATGCAATTACCGGTAGATGCACTAGAAATATAGAATTCTTATTGAATACCTATGCTAGATTTGCAAATCATTATTTTGACTACCCCTGTACCCTATGAAATAGTAAATCCCTCACATAAGCTTGTGATATGTTAACTAGCAGAAATGCCACCAATTTTGTTGTTCTGCAGAGAATCCCATTATTATCTCCACTGTCGATTTTCAATTCTTCTTGAAAATGGCTAGCCCAGTTGCTTTGATATTTTATACATAGATACCTTAGATGCCTTAGCCATTTATCTAATTTTAGTGAATATTTTTGGAATTTTTGGGAAAAAATGCTGATTTTGACTTCTTTCCTTTTGATATATAATATGTAGACACCAATTGTTTATTTCATGATAATAAGTTAATTTTTTTTCATTTTAGGGAATATTTTTGACATTTTCGGTAAAAAAAAATGCCATTTTCAATTGTCTAACTATAGATCAATGCTGTACAAGGTGACAAACTGCTTGTTTGAGGCTTTTGCTGATTTTACAACTGATTTCTCTGAAATTTACCAACCTTTGAGTTTGCAATACAATCAGTTATCTGCAAACAATACTGTCACCACAACAAAGGCATTCCTTTCAACTTTATAATTATTATGATAACTTAAATAATAATAAATTTCACAATTAAGACTGAAACATGAGGTACCAAACAGAAAGACAAAAATTATTTTTTAATATCAATATTCCCAAAAAATTAAAAAGTGATGTTCAAACTTATACATGTCTCAATTCATTGGCCCTTATATGAATTTATTGAAAATGATTTAGATGTACTTATTCTTCAGTCTACCACACCTATGACTTGTAAAGACCAAATTTAGCTTAGTTATTTTTCATATATTCTTCAGAACGAAGTGACCTCTTTGTGTTTAGCTCATAAATTTGTAACACGCCCACAAAGCAAATAGCCAAAGCCTACTTTTTGATTTTGAAAAATGCTACAAGTATTTATTGCCACTTCCTAAATTACTAGCATTACCATCAGTATTTAATTGATCAGTCTGTAAGCAGAGATGAAATAAAATTATTTTGCTATGCCTGAATCAGCTTCTGGTGTGGTTACGGTCATCTAGCTTTATATTGTAGAAAGCCTCGTTTAAAAATTAGGAATCTTAATGTAAGTGTTTTTTTAATTTTTTTAAATGCATAGCGAACCCTTTTTGTGAAAAGGGATGTACACTAAATAAATAAATAAATAAATAAAATGTCTCATAACAAGTGAAGGTCATGACGAAAAGTCAGTTTTATGACTTGATTTTGTCACTGCATCTACCAGTAATTTATACCGGGAAATAAATGACATGACATCACTAAGGTAGAAAAAATGTCACAGAAACCCTGTGGACAAAGGACTTGTCTTGCTGTATTGTAAAACAATATAATAATGGACTGTAATGGGTCTTCACTCCAGCAGGTCTCATAAATTACCTGCTAGAACTGTCAGCATGTTTTTTGTATGTGTGCCTGTACTGAGACAAACGCATTTAACAGTTCTAATTAGCAATTAAGGAGGATTAGTAGTGAAAAATTCATTATCACCTTTCAAGTCAATGTTTTGTATTCTTCGTATAAATGCCATACTGTATTTGATCTATTAGAAGCACATATAAACGAAAATTTGCATGTATAGTGTACACTTGATCATCAAAATATGACTTATACGGTCGTAGACATGCATGTACTTCTCCCCGTTACATGCATTTCTAATAGAGCAAATATGGTACTATTATTGGCAAATTGTGGAAGAGCACACCTCTGTATTGCACAACAAGAATGATTTTTATTTTTCTGTGGATGATAAAATGATTCTAAATGATGTCCATTTTCTCAGCATATATAGTAAATTGTTTGTATTAATTTTAAATTAGAATGTTTGTCAAATTCAGGTAGTTATGTCGCAACTGTTCACTAAGTATGATATGTCAACTAGTGTTACCATGTACTTTGATCTAAGCTATTCATTGTATTCAATTTTCAAAAACAATAGCCATCCCAGTTCAGTCTGCAACTCGAGGAGGAGGAGGAGTTACTTGATCGGTGAATAACAACTTTAACATTTTGATGCTGAAAAGTATCTTTTAAACCTTCTAAACAAATGTTAGGGCAAACTTAAATATTGAAATCAATCTAAAAATTTATCATTCTCTTGTTTGTAGAATATTTTCATTTTTGTAGTAGTTATATGCCAGAATGGCATACATTACGTCAATTCTCATGAAAATTAGCCACAGTTGAATAATGGTACAGTAGTACGTACTCAAAATAATATTTGATGTTTATAACTTTGATTTGTAAGATTCTTATATATAAAATTTTGTTTAAAAATTCATTTTTTATATTTTTATGAGCCATAGCTTCAAATTTTATCAGGTTATTTTACATTGTATAATTTAGAACACTTAAAAAATTCAACAGCTGACTATTAAATGTAAATATTTAATTTGATCCGGTTACATGTACTTCCGCCTCAGTACAGTGGTCCCTCACATTGCAGAATATTGTTACCCTAAATTTTTCTGCAAATTATTGTGCAGTTTTTATGTAATTTTCTCACATTTTTTTTATTGTGAGTATGAATGTGTCTGTTGGGGGTCAGTCTCTTGATCAGAACGAAGCAGACAGGATTGGAAGATGCATCTCCAATAGAAGCAGCCGCATATGTAGTACAGTCAAAGTATTGCTTAACATTTCAAAACTGCCACTCCTAAATTGGCCTCATATTAGTACCACAGGACAATACCACAATAAATAGGTTACCATATAAGTTAATCATTTAAATATGATTTATTATAGCCATTGACTCATTTACATAAGCACATATGCTACTAATAGAGCAAAAAGAAAATTATTTTATTCGGGTGATGTTAAACATTTGAGAGTTGACTGTAAGCTTATATTTTGTGAGGGGAACATTTTCATGAAATATCCTGTCAGTAAATACTCTATTGGTATTCTGAAAACAGACATAATTACATTTATTAGTGTCCTAGGAAGTCTTGGTGACTTTCACAAGGGTACCAGGGAGTCTTTTTGACTTTCACTTGGGGCCTAGGAAGCCTTAGTGACTTTCACTGGGGTTCTAGGGAGCCTTAGTGACTTTCACTGGGGTCCTAGGGAGTGTTATAGTGACTTTTGCAAAATTTTCACAAAATTTTCTTGAATTATGTAATAGGAAACATTGTTGTTAGTGGCCAAAATTTAGCAGTTTACACTAAAATTATTTACTTTTCGTTTATTTTCAGCGAGCAAGAAAAGAAGAAATTGGAAAAATCATTGTTTACACAACTAGCATGAGTATTATCAGAGACACTTATGAAAAATGCAGATTTGTCAAAAGATTGTTTCAAAATCATCGAGTAAAATTTGAGGAAAGAGACATATATTTGAACAAAAATAACCAGCAGGACTTACAGGAGAGACTTGGACCGGATCAGCCGCTCGTCGTGCCGCAGGTGGTTATTGACGGAGAAATCATTGGGGTAAGTATATATGGCATTGGCTTACCTGTGTTTATATTTGTCATATATATTTGTGGAATATTTGTCATG